CCACCCATCCATCCATCCATCCATCCATCCACCCACCCACCCATCCATCCATCCATCCATCCATCCATCCATCCATTCATCCATCCATCCATCCATCCATCCATCCATCCATCTATCCATCCACCCATTTATCCATCCATCCATCCATCCATCCATCCATCCATCCATCCATCCGTCACTCATTAAGGCTCTCCATGTGGACAGTCAGGTCAGTCCTGTGAGGTGCAGGAACAGGTACGAAGAAGAGACTTGGCACTCTGTAGAGAAGATCGAACCAACAGTTGTGAAGTGCAGGGAAGGTTAGCAAGGCCTCTCCCTCCGCTGAGAAGGGCTAAAACACTCACAGAGCACATGGTCCCAGGCAGCTGCTTTTCATCCAACTCCTGACATCAGGGCTCGAGATTCAGATTCAGTGTGAGGAGGACTCTTCTGACAGTCAACGTGAATGACAATGGCGCTGACTGCCAGAACAAGTAGTGAGCAGCCCGTTGTGAAGGGCATGTAAGAAGAAGTAGGATAACGGACAGGGATACACAGTTTTAACTCAGCACCTGCCGTGTCCAGGCCCTGTGTTAGCAGCCAGGGACCCTGAGATGACTAAGACACAGGCCCTACTGTCCAGCTGCTCTCAGTCCAGTGAAAAGAGACCTGACATCGGCAGACAAGAGGCCATAGTGTGATCAGGACTATGATGGGGTCTGAGCAGGGTGCTCCTGGCCAAGGCAGGGTGCCTGAGGTGAGAACCCAGACAGCAACACTGGAATCAATCTCTGTGTGTGATGATCTGGCCACAGATAGGAATTTCCTAATTGGGGGCCATTCTGAACCTCACCCCTGGGAGGCGGTGGGCAGAGGTTTGTGTCCCCATTCCCCAGAGGGGACCAAGAAGCAGTGCAGGAGCTGCGTGAGGGGCTGTACTCCTTGTGAGGTTGTTATTGTTATGACTCACGTCTGCCCTCTCCTCCCCTCCAGGTACGCAGCCCCCGGGCAGCTTCCTCGCTCTGGCCCTGGCCTGTGTCGTGGTGCTAGCGGGTGGGGCCCTCACTTGCCTCATCAGGTGAGACTGTGTGCCTGAGCCTGGCACTGCCCCTCTGTGCCCCTAGCCCAGCCGTGGGCAAACTACGGCCCGCAGGCAGGATCCGGCCCGTTTGAAATGAATAAAACTAAAAAAAAAAAAAAAAAAGACCGTACCCTTTTATGTAATGATGTTTACTTTGAATTTATATTAGTTCACACAAACACTCCATCCATGCTTTTGTTCCGGCCCTCCGGTCCAGTTTAAGAACCTATTGTGGCCCTCGAGTCAAAAAGTTTGCCCACCCCTGCCCTAGCCCCTCCGGGCCTCCCTCCTGTGGGCAGAGCTCTGGCAATCTGCAGGAGGCTTTCCCATCATCTGTTCCCAGGACCTCAGGATGGGCCCTGGCACTCCTGTCCATCCTAGAGCCCCTGCCAGACTCTGTGGAGTCCGGAGGGTGCTCCTGAGGAGGCCCGTGGGAGACTTGGGGAAGAAGCCTGGGCCTCACACAAGACCCCGTCCTCCCGAGTTTCTCGCCAAGCACCTGTGCAGGGGGCTTGGCCAGGACGACCTTCAGCTTTGGAAACAGTTCTTTTCTGTATCTCAAGAACGCCCTTGTTTCCCTGAAGCCTCAAGCACCACACCCAGGAAGGGGCAGCCCCCTCTCCAGGCCGCACCCAGGCTCTGGCTGCCCCTGAGGCCTCCAGGCGATGTGGGAACACTGAGGCCGAGACCAGCAGGCACATCAGGAGGGAGTCCAGCTCTGAGCTGGGCTGAGGGGCCTCTGAAGCCGGCACTGCCTGGTGGGCCCCCTCTCAGCCCAGCGGGGACTGCTGGGGAGGCAGGAAAGGAAACGGAGAGAGGATAGGTGAGGGCTCTGGGTTGGAGGCAGGAGTGACGCTCGTGCCAGCCCCTCTGCCCTGCACTCTCTCTCCCCTCCAGACTGGGCGTCCGGCAGCTGCAGCTGGTGCGGGGGCCTCACGGGATCCTGCTGACAGCCCGGGAGCTGGCCTTCATCCATCCACCTCTAAGCAGTCAGGTGGGTGGGCCAGGCGCTGGGCTGGGTGCGCACGCAGGGGACTGAGGCCCCGGCTCAGCTTTTGACCGTGTCTGCCCCCTCCAGAGGCTGCATACGGACAGGGATAGTGCGAGTGAATCAAGAAGTGCGGCAGATGGTGGGAGCCTGAGGTCGGTGGCCCAGGGGTCAGCCAGGAGCCCCCAGGAGCCTACCAACGTGGCCCTGTACCAGGTGGGAGCCTCTGCCACGCCCATGCCCAGACCTGGGGATGGGAGAAGCCTCTCGGGTCCCTATGCCCCACCCTAATCACTGGATGGGAAACTGAGGCCTGAAGAAGGGCAGTGACTTTCCTGGGTCCCTTAGCAAGTGGGCGTCAGGGCTAGGACTGGGAAGCAGGACTCCCAGCTCCCGTCCGGCATGGCTGGTGATCCACCAGCCACGTGGGCAACAGCTAGTTCCTGGGCACTGTCAGCGGTGGGTCCACCCCAGGGCTCTCTCAGCACCGGGGCCAGCCCAGGCCGCACGCCTGCCTGCTCCGGTGACGGCCAGTGAGATCCTGGTCCCTGAGACCCTGACTTGTGGGGGCAGCACCAGCCCAGGACAGCCACTCCTTCTCCCAGCTGGCAGGGAGGCTGGGAGGTCAGAGGTGAGACCGGGAGATTCTGAGGTCGCTGAGGACACTTGGATTTCTCAGGTGCTGTGTCCCCAAAGGCAGCAGCTCATTGAGGCTCCGCTTCCCTCTCCCTGGCTCACGCTCCACGAGCGGCTAATGGTTTCTGCAGGAAGGAACATGTGGCTCTTGCTCCTTTTCTACCTTCTCCTTGGGGAATTCCATCCCTTTTTCTTTTCTGCTGAAAGGAGGCTTTAAAGATGCACAAAGCACTTTTGTTTGCTTCTCCAAGTTGGCCCTCAGTGAGGTTGAGGAGGCAGGAAGGCCTCGCTGAGAGGGAGAGAGGGCTGAGGGGACAGCTCTGGGCTGGAGGCCTCTGCCTCTGCCCCTGCCCTGGAGTCCCTGGGTCACAGAGCCCCTCACTTCCAGGGTTTGGGGTGTCTGAGGCCCTGCAGAGTAAAACTGACCTTGGGGCCAGGCGCTAACGCCTTGATATCCGCCATCTCGTCAGCCTTGCATCAGAATTGAAACGTGAAGCTCAGAGATATGCAGTCACCTGCCCAAGGTCACAGGGCTTGAAAGTGGTGGAGTTAGGACAGGAACTTGAGTCTGTGAGCCAAGCCGGGCCCCCGGCTCCTCCCCAGGGCCACAGCCAAAGTCCAGCTATTGTGTCCCCTGGCCTCGGAGCACACAGAAAGAACACATTTATGGGGGAAAGCTCAGGCTGAGAGAGGCTGAGGGTCCGCCCGAGGTCACACAGCTGGGAACTAGCAGCAGCTGAACTCGTGTTCCTCCTTGAGCAGGGGGAGTGGGTGCGGCTGAAGACGTTTGAAGCTGGCATGGCTCCGGAGCTGCGGCCCAGCTGCCTCCGCCTCCTGAGAAAGGTAGGGCTGCAGAGGGCCTGGAGGGGGGCTGGGGACGGGGTGCCGTCAGGAGACCCTGTTGGTCTGGAAGGAAGTCCTCCTATTCGCACCATCGCCACCACATTGCCAACACGTCCATCGCAGTTATACACCCTCACCGTCACCATCACTCACCAGCATCCCAAAGTCATGCCACCACCTTCATGTGATCATCGCCATGACCACCAGGGTCACGTTCCCATCAGTATCACCACCTGTGTGCATTCAGCACCATCAAAGGGCCTCATCCTGTACCTGCCGTCCCTCCACCCACCCACCCGTTTATTCACTATTTATTGAGCACCAACTCTGCCAAGCTGTGTTCTGGGTTTGGAGGATACAGCCATGGAGAAGAGACAGGATCCCTTTCAGCCACTTATCATCATTAATCACATAAGTCCCTTCACCCCTGAGATTGTCACCACCCTGAGAGGCTGGGGGATGGAGATGAGCCCGGGATCTGAGTCAGGAAGAGCCCAGGTGGAATCCTGCCCTCACGGGACTCTTAGCTTTCCTGTAGAATGGAGCTAATAAAACCGCCCCAGGGGAGCTCCGAGGATGGGAGAGAAAATACGAAAAAACCTAGCAATGTCCTGCCAAGTGGTGCAGCTTTGATAAATTGTGAATTTTATTATTATTCCCAACATCTGAAATTAGGTTTGTAGAGACTAAGTGGCTGGAGGTGAGGCATTTCAGCGGGCATCTTGTAGCCAATGGGCATAGATGTCCCCTAGAAGAAAAGGCTCAATGGTGGTCAAATGAGTTTGGAAATTGCTTGCGTGAGCGATAGGCCTTCTCAGGATTCCTAACATGCTGTTCTTGCTATCTATGCCTGTGTAACAATTTACCCCCAAATATACTGGCTTAAAGCAGCCACTAAAATACTCCCCCAAATTATTGTATAATATCTTACAATTTTGTGGGTAGGAAATTTGGGCAGGGCTCGGCTAAACAATTTTTCTAGGGCCTCTCCATGTGGTCTCTCTAGCGTGGTGACTCTGGGTAGAGGGACTTCTTGTGGCCATTCAGGGCTCCACCAGACAGGAAATAGAAGCTGTCAGTCTTCTGAGACCCAGACCTGAAACTCCCGGACCACTGCCACCATGTCCTATTGGTCCCAGTGTCACAGAGCCCGCTCAGACTCAAGGGGGAGGGCACAGAGGCCCCACCTCCTGATGGCAGGGATGTCAAAGGATCTGAGGCCATTCTTACCTCCTCACATCTATAATAATAAAAGCATAATATGCTAATTAGACTGACAGCCGAACGACCTTCTGGATGTCCTTCCAGACGACCTTCTGGACAAAGCCAGGGCTGCGAGGGCCGAGCCCCTTGCACGAATTTCGTGCATCGGGCCTCTAGTGTGTTAATATGCGTGTGAATCTCTAAGGGGGAGAGTGTCCAGCTCCCCTTCTCTTAGTTGATCCCTGAACTGTGTTTGTGAGGAGGGACTTCCTAGGCAAGGGTTCCACCTGTTTTGCTTGAGCAAATGCTAGCCTCGCAGGGTGGGTTCAAGCTCTCTGGCCTGTTGGGCAGCCACCAGGGAGGCTGCTTTCTGCTCAGCCCTGGTCCCCTCTGCACCTTTTCTTCTCCTTATCGGTCACTGAGTCTTGGGGTTTTCAGGTTCATGGTGCCACTTAGGTTGGGAAACCGGCTTAGATCCCTGTACCATGGAACTGGTTACAGCTCATTCACTTATTCATCTATTGTGTTTTCACTCACTTACTCATCCATCCATCCATCCATCCATCCATCCACCCACCCACCCACCCATCCATTTATCCTCCGCTTATCATGCATCCATCATCCATCTGTCCATCCACCATGTCTGATGCCTCTCTATGCTCAGCTCTGTGCTGATGAACTGAGTCCGGGTGTGCATTTCACCCGGCCCAACCCCCGGGGGCTCCACAATGCTCATTTCCCTGGCAGATGCGAGAGCTGCGGCATGAGAACGTTGCCACCTGCCTGGGGTTCTTCTTGGCCCCTGGGGTGAGTGCCCTGGTGCTGGAGCACTGTGCCCGGGGCAGCCTGGAGGACCTGCTGCGGAATGAGGCTCTGCGGCTGGACTGGACCTTCCAGGCCTCCCTGCTGCTGGATTTGATTCGTGTGAGAACCTCCCCTGGGCCTGGAACTGCGGGGGGGGGGGGGGGGTGAGGGGGGGGGAGCAATGGGGAAGGGAGGGAGATAAGATGCTCAGACTTCCCAGTCCCGGGCTCTCTTCAGTTTGTCTGAGACGAGTCTGAATACTGTGGCAAAGGGCGAGGGAGGCAGGAAGGGTTTCTGGGGTCCGTGGGAATTCTGATAGGACCAGGGTCCCCTTCGCTCGCCACAGGCCTAATGGGCCCCCATTCTGTCCACCCCAGGGCGTGCGGTATCTGCACCATCAGCATTTCCCCCACGGCCGCCTCAAGTCCCGAAACTGCGTGGTGGACGAGCGCTTTGTGCTGAAGGTCACTGACCACGGCTACGCAGGGCTCCTGGACGCTCGGCGGGCTCCCCGCCCGCGCCCCGCCCCGGAAGGTCAGCTCACGGGTGGGCAGCTGGTTCTGAGGCCGCTGTTTAAATCGGGTGCTTGTGAGGCAGGGGAGAGGGCGAGCTCTCCAGTGCTCCAGCCTCCGTGTCGGGTGCCCTGGCGGCTGTCGTCCCTGAGCCGCGGGCCCCTCGCTGCGAATGGGGAGGAACCCGGCTCCTCCCGCGGCTGAAGGGGGAAGGCGGTGACACCCCATGTGGGAAATGCTGCCCAGCTCAGCCCAGCTTGGGTGGTTCGAGGGGACATGGTGGGGCCCTGCCCTGTGATTGCAGACCTGCTGTGGACAGCTCCGGAGCTGCTGCGGGGGCCCCGGGGGCCCGGGCGGGGCACCCTCCGAGGAGACGTCTTTAGCGTTGGCATCATCCTGCAGGAGGTTCTGACTCGAGGCCCACCCTACGGCTCCTCGGGGCTCTCGGCGGAAGGTACAGCATCCTCCTCCCCCCGTGGTCAGGGAGCTCCGTGACACCACGAAATTCGGGCCTGAAAATAACCACACAGACACACTTGCCTGTTTGGCCACCAAGCGTTGGGTTTCTTTGGCTTAAGCCAGGCAGCCTTCAGCAACTCTGCCAACATGGCAGCTGACCGGTTCCAGGGCTAAAGACACTGGTTTCTGGGTGAAAGCCCCACCCCTTCCAGCCTCTCCCAGGTCATTGCCGAGTGTGCAATGCTCAGGCGGAGCACCCCACTGCTCAGCACAGACTTTGTGTCATTACTGACCTCGGTTCTTCCCCAGCTGTAGCATTTCCTTACTGTGTGGCCTTTCACAAATCACTCACCCTCTCTGAGCTCAGCTATCTCCCCTTTAAAACGGGAATCAAACTTAAGATGTGCCAGACACAGCCGGCCCATGTCTGATGTGGCCAGGCTGCTCGGTCTTGGGGGCTTGGTTCTCTGCTGGGGTGGGAGTGGGGGGGCTCCTTCCAGAGCATCTCTGTGCCCACACTTTGGGGCGCACAGGAGAATCACCACACCTTCCCCACTGTCTCCTGGTCTTAGACATTTTCTCTCCTCTGACCCCAGTGCCAGGGCCCAACTTCAGAAATGTTTCCTCTCCTCCGTGTTCTCTGTCAGGGCTGCCTGGACTCCAGGCTGCTCTTCCAGTTGTCCCCCAGCTGCCTCCACCCAGTCCCAGGGGCCCGTCCCCACAGGGACCCTGGCATCTCGGCCCGAAGTGCAGGGCAGTGGTGGAGCCGAGCCCACCATCCCGTGTTCTCCCCCACCCCCCTCCAGTGGATAATCTGTGACTCACAAGGAGGCCGGCCGCTTCCTTTCTCCACCAGAGCGCTGCTCAGTGAATAATGAGCATTCCAGGCCCCAAATTTATGAGGTGGAGGAATGGGAAGGAGGGGGGTTCATCAGGCCATTTGTTCAACATTCCTCAGCTGTCCCTCCACCCCCCGCCCCATCTGCACTGATAGAGGGAAGACCAGCCAGATGGGGCCCCCAAGCCATGCTGCCAGTGCAGGACCCTTCCGGCCGGGGCTCCATCTGCCTTAGGCACAGGGACCAGGCTTGGAACCCCATGGCCACCCTTGGGTTGGGCTGTGAGACCAGGGTCTGCTACTTCCTGGGGTACTTTTCCTGATCATAGGGAGTAAAATGTTAAGCGCACAGGCATACAGTGTTAGGGGTCACCCACCTAAGCCCCGCTCCACACCAAGTCACCTCATGAGTTGGAGTAAATCCCTTTCAGACTCTGAGCCTCAGTTTCTTCCTCTGTAAAATGGGAGCGTCATGCCTGCCGCCCAGAGTAGCTGTGAGGATTCGGTGAAATACTTTAGACAAAGTGCCTGGCTCCCAGTAAAAATCTGCCTGGGTAGTTTCAGGGTTGTGCTAATGAGGCTCTCAGGTTCTCTCCTGATTCTCCCACTTGGACACAGACCCTGTTAGAAATAGCATCTTTTTAAGATCCTGTCTGTGTGAGGCACTTGGGAGGTGGGTAAGTGCGCTCTTTTCAGAGATAGTTAAGTGAGGCTCAGAGAGGAGACTTCTCAGTGGGAAGCAGTGGGTCTGGGATTTGGGCAAAAGTTCCCTGACCCACGCTCAGTGCTTTTGCCCTAAAATCTCTCGGTGTCATCCACGGAGCATCTCCCCACGGAGCTGGATGTGCAGCAGGGCCCGTCAATCCTGGTGACGCATGGGGTGAGGACAGCGGGCCTGCCCAGTGCGGGAACACGAGACCCCGCCCGGCCGGGGCCAGGGGTTCCCAGCAGGTCACCTTAGGACCTCATTCCAATGTCAGAAAAGGCTGGAGCCTCACATGCTACTATCTGACTTTTAATATCCGCCGGCTGAGAGAATACCCAATGACAAGATCTGCTCTGAACTCAGCAACACTTGGAAATGGATTTGTACTTGAGCCATCACAGCACCAGCTGAGTACTTTTGAAAACGTGTTGTACATGTGCACGCAATGCATTATTGGTTCCATCTGCTCACACCCCTTTGTGAGCTCACCGCGCTTCCAGACCCTGCACTCAGAGGCCCTCGGGTCTGAGGCCGCAGGCTGGGAACCTCTGGGCGGAAGGAGGAAATCGCGCAGGTCACGAGGGGATCCGGCCCGGTTCTGGAGTCTACTTTTAAGAGGCCCTGTGGCTGTGGGCGACTTAGGAACCTCAGTTTCCCTGTCTGTAAAATGGGACAGTGATGCAGGCACTGCGCCCAGCAAGGAGGCCAACAAAGAGATGGGGAGGGGAGTGAAATCCAGAAAGACGCTCCTCCTCACTGGCTCCCAGGATGCCCTCGTCCCACCAGGAGAGGAGGGTCTCCGCAGAGGAGATTAATCAGCGCTGCCCGGAAACAGCCCTCGCAGGTCTGTGCTGTTCTTACGCCCCTGTGAGGAAACTGAGGCTCAGAGAGGTGATGTAACTTGTAGAGAACGTAAACGGATAATGTCGACATTCCCTCCTGCTCCGATGGAAGCCTGAACGTGTGCCCAGCCCCTCTTGCTCCAGCGTCCTTGAATTTCTCAGCTCCCCGGGCTCCCCAGCAGCTTCCTGAGGTTCTTTCCACCCATCGTCAGGTGGAGAAACCAAGGCACCGAGTGATGCCAACAGGCAGAGCCAGAGCTAGAACACCGATCCATCTGACCTCAACTTAGTCTGGCGGCCTTATCACATGGAGGGGGACAGGAAGGTCCACGGCGGGGCTGTCTTGGGAAAATGATGATGATGACGGTGGTGATGATGATGAAGATACTGATCAGACAGTTTTGCTTTGCACTTGTGAGGAGTTGGCACCAGAGGGTCTCCAGGAGGCAGGGCTGGTGAAAAGAGCCGGGTGGCCATCACTGGCAACAGAGCAGCAACACTTGATTCAGCATCTGGGGGTGGGGAGAGCCTGCTGGGTGCCAGGCACCTAACCTCTACCATCGCGTCCCTCAGCACCCCCCTCAAGAAGGCAATTAAGCTCTTTTCACAGATGGGGAGACGGAGGCTCAGAGACGTCACCACCTTGTCCACCATCTCACAGACCAAGAATTTAAAGCCCACCCTGAAGTAGACCTTTTCTCTGAGACCCTGTCCCTAGCCACACCCAGGGCGGACCCAGGAAAGAGTCCCGGGTCCACCGACTACCATGCCTTGGGGCCCAGAGCAGGGGCCAAGGAGCACCTTCAAGGCCCGATTCCACCCCCCAACCCCCAGGCCTACCCTGCTCTCCCTCTCAGGCCCCCAGGCCCCTCCCACAGCCCTCCTGGGGACCTCGGGGCCACCACCACATGGTGTTAATTGCAGAAATCATCAGAAAGGTGGCATCACCCCCTCCCCTGTGCCGGCCGCTGGTGTCCCCTGACCACGGGCCGCCCGAGTGCATCCAACTGATGGAGCAGTGCTGGGAAGAGGCTCCGGAGGACAGACCCAGCCTGGACCAGATCTACACCCAGGTCAGTGCTCCCGGGAGGAGCAGAGTGCTCATAAGAAATGGCTGATCAATGCACCTCACTTTGCCCAGTGGGAACCCCACACTATGCCTGGGGCCTAGAAAGGGGGCAGCAGGCCAGCACAGTAACCCTGAGGGGCCTGAGGTACAGCCTCTGAGTGCCTTCCTGAGCGCCACACCCCACACTGTGCTCCGCTTACTTCATTTAATCCTCGTCATCATTCTCCGAAGAAGCATTGTTATTATCTGGGCTTTACAGAGAGAAACCGAGGCACAGAGAAGTGAGGGGACTTTCCCAAGGTAACTGAGGGAGTGACAGCTGGCCTGGAGTCCAAGCCCAGGTTTGCCTGTCTGCAGACCTGGCACTGGGAACCCCGACCCTATACTGGGCCTCCTGGCACCGGGGCAGAGAGGCTGTTGGTGGCTGTGGTGGCAGCACTGGCTCCCTGCGGAGTGAGTGGGGGATGTGAGGGGCACTGGGGCCCCCAGGCCTGCCCTGGGGACTGCAGAAGGAGGGGTGAGGCAAGTCTGTACGAGCCTGTGAGGCAGTGGAGTGTGTGGGCCTGCCTGCACCGGCTAATGGCTCCCACGGGGCCAACCCATCAAGCCTGAGGTGAGACCTTTGTGCCTCCCCTTCCCACCCCACCCCCTCTCCAGCCGCAGCAGAACACTGTCCAGGAGAGGCTGTGAGGTTGTTGACCGTACGGTTTGTAACCACACATGGATGTCCTCACAGGAGATCAAAGGGAGGTACTTCTCTCTGCTCAGGGCCAGCAGTAGGCGTGTTTCTCTTGAGAAACTAGTTTAATGCCCCATTGTCTCGTGGACTCCACGGATCATACAATCTCTATTTTCCTCTTTGCCTTGTCGCTAGGAAGCTCATATCTAAACTTGGGACCAAATTCTAGTGCGCATTTTGCACACAGATCTCAATGCTAAATTAGCTTAAAAAGAATTTTATTCTTCTTTGTTCCCAGTGTCCTTATATATTTATTATTTTATTTTGTGGCATTGCTTTATTTTTCTTAGTACTTAAAATTTTTTGGAGCATAGAGAGAAATCGAGAGGTAGAAACAGATTAGTATATAAATAAGCTACATATATTCTTTCTACCTACCTATCTGCCATGTATTTATCCACTTATCCATTCATACATCATATCCACCCATCCATCTAGTATCCATCCATCCATCCATCCATCCATCCATCCGTCATCCATCTTTGAGAAGAACAAGGAGCGCCTTTTCCGCAGGGTTGTTGTAAGAACCAATGCAGCAGGGCCAGCGTTGGTTAACGGTAGTGCCCTGCTGAGCCTGGGCTCCTTTGCAAAGTCCTTTCTGCCCACCTCACACAGAACTAACCCAGTCGCCTCCCAGCCGTCTGTGTTTTCCCTCAGCGGAGCTGCCACCCCCTGTCTATTCCATATCTGGTCCCCACCAGTCCGTTTCCTCCAGGCAGGGACTGTGTCTGGCTCATTCCTGCGAACCAGACTGTGAACAAGCTGCGGGCTGAGTGTGTTGCCCTTCGTGGATGAGTTGGGAATTTTATTCCATCTTCAGTTCAAAAGCATCAACCACGGCAAGAAGACCAGCGTTGCCGACTCCATGCTGCGGAGGTTGGAGAAGTATTCCCAGAACCTTGAGGGCCTGATCCAGGCGCGGACTGAGGAGCTGGAGCTGGAGAGGCAGAAGACGGAACGGCTGCTCTCTCAGATGCTCCCGCCGTGAGTGGCCCCTTAGGACCCGGTTGTGCTTCTAGCCGCGGTGGCTCTGAGCCTGGGACTGGAACATAGTAGGTGCTCAGTAAACCTGGGTTCGATGAATTCATTCAATCCATTCATTGTTTATTTATCCAACAGATGTTCTCAGAGCCCTTACATGTGCTAGGCACTGTGCTGGGCACGCGGGTTTGGAATTTCTGCTACCTCGCTAGCTCTCTTTGGAGCCAAGGAGAGGGTATAATGTCCCCTGTCTCACTTCAGAAAAAGTAATGTCCAGAGAGGGACAGGCATTCGCTGGAGGGCAGCCAGAACATCAGCAGACCTGTCCCAGATCTCCTAACCCTCAACGCGGGATTTCCTCCAAAATATCCCCCCCCCACCCCCACTTACCTCCAGACTGTGGGAAGGGGATCCTTCTACCCTGTGGCTCTGATCCATCCCATCCCTCCAGTTCTGTGGCCGAAGCTCTGAAAACTGGGGCGACTGTGGAGCCGGAGTACTTTGACCATGTTACCATATACTTCAGTGACATCGTGGGTTTCACCACCATCTCAGCCCTGAGTGAGCCCATGGAGGTGGTGGGCCTGCTCAATGACCTCTACACGCTGTTCGATGCCGTTCTGGGCAACCATGACGTGTACAAGGTGAGAGAGTACCAGGAGGCTGGCATTCCATCTCTCCTTCCTTTGCCACTATGTTGATGTCACACATTTACTTCCAGTCATTTCTTCATGTGTTTTGATCAGGTTGCTAATGCTGCATAACAAATAACCCCCCAAATCCAGGCATGTGAAATGATAAGTATTAATTGTTGCTCACAGGCCTATAGGTGAGCTGGAAAGTTCTCTGGACTCAGCTAGACTCAGTCATACATCTATGTCAGCTATGGATGAGACAGGAAGCTCTGTTGATCTTGGTTGGGCTCTCTCACATCTCTGGATCCTTGGCTGGGACAGCTCAGTTCTGGTCCACATGATCTCTCAGCCTCCAGCAGGCTAGCTGGGCAAGGGCAGATGAGGAGTCAGCTCCCGTGCCTGCCCTCAGGGAGCACTTGGTGCTGTAGGTAAACGAGGAAGGCAACCCACAGCGAAAGTGATGATCAGGGAGGCAGTGAAGGCTGAGAAGGCTTCCAGCCAGCCAGGGAGAGACATGCAGAACAAAGAGCAAGACAGGCTTCCTGGAGGAGGGGCTGCCTTCCTACCTTTGCTCACTCTGGGTGTGGTGGCTCCCGTCAGCAAGGGGGGAATGTGTACTACAGCTTGAGGCTTGAGAGAGTGGGCCTGGTGAGCGTGAAGGATGCTGACTGGGTTGTGATGGCTGGATATGAAGGGGGTCTGTGGTGGGAGTAAGTGGATGGGTGGGGGCCCTGGGGAGGGCAGCGGGGGCCTTAGCAGACCTGTCAAGACCCTTCATGATCTGTGCACCCCTTGATCCTGGCTTCAAATCCCAGCCTGGCCCCCAGCTTCATGTGGCTTTGGGCAAATGGCTTCCCCTCTCTGGGCCCCTGCTCTTTATCTGTAAAACAGAAATAATGACTCCAGTCCCAGAAAGGCGGGTGGGAGGAGGGCAGGGATTCCCAGATAATGGTTGGACCCTGTAGAAGGGCTCTGTAAACTGGGGAGAGCGTCCTGCCTCTCTGGGCCTGCTGTGGGGACTTTCCCGCCCCAACCCTGCCCTTTATTCTGATCCAGTTGCTGGGGGTCATGGGTCAGCTTCAGACACGGCAGAGGAGGTGGGGAGGGAGGTTCCAGGAAAGGGCCATACTCAAGCTCCACTGGCCCTAGCTTTCGATTGTGACTCCCCAGCCCCCTTCCAGCCATAGCCCTTCAAGGACACAGCGACAGGACAGGAAGGCCTTGGGGCTGAAGCCAGAGTGGAAAGGCTGCTTGGACAGGAAGCTTCAGGGGAGAGAACTAAGTGCTTGGGGTGCCAGGCAGTCTGCTGACAGCATTATGTACAGTATCCCAGACAACAATGACCAGCACTTATTGAGTGCTCGCTGTATACGGGACACTATTCTAAGTACTTTTTATGCATTAATCCATTTAACCATCATCATAATCTGTGAGGTAGGTACTGGTATTCATTTTCCTATTTTATAAATGAGGAAAATGAGATGATTAAACAGTTTGTCTAGTTACATATTCCCAGTGGCATATGACGCTGAAATTTGCACCTGGGTATTCTGGTCCCCAAACCCCCTTTTAGTGGGGCTCCCATCCCCGTGATATGGATGTCCTCAGGCTAAAGCCACAGGTTCCTGGTGGCCCACAAGGTCCTCCGGGAGCTGATCCGCCCACCTCCCCGGCTGCATCTCTGATCACTCCACCTCCACAGCCCTCTATATTCCTCACACATGCTTTGCTGTCTCTAGCCACTAGGCCTTTGCAGATGCTGTTCCCTCGCCCCGGAACGCTGCTCTCCCTCCTCTTTGCCTGGCTCCCTCTGGTCATCCTGGTCTCGGGTTAGCTTCCTTGGCATTCAGACATGGTTAGGAGCTCCGGTGTGACGCTCTCATAACTACCCTTGTAGAACAGCCACACTTCATGGTTCCAACCTAAACCCCTCTGTCCCCAGTGCCTGGCAATGCCCAGCACATGCCAGGCCCTCAAGAAATATGTGTTAGCTGGATGAGTTGCTCATGGAGGCCCGGAGGAGAAGTGACTTGCCCGAGGTCACACAGCTGGTAGGCGGCAGAGCCAGGACAGGAATCTGCAATGTCCACCACCTCCACCACCTGGCTCTGTCCACTGCACCACACTGCCCAACCTGGATGCGGAGACCTGAGCCGCGGACATTCCGAGGATGCAGCTTCCCTCCTGTTCCCTGTTCAGGACCCCACGCTCTGGCCCCAGTGGTGATTCTGAGGTGTCATCTCCTGTGTTGGCTGAATTCCCCTCTTGCCTCCAGAGCCGCCCTGGCCCCACGGCCCCAGGGAAAGATTCCTCATCTCATCTGTCTGGCCTTGCTGAGCCCTGCAGCTTTGATCTGCCCTGAGTCACCCCTGGCCCGTCTCTTCCTCCCCTGCTAATCTCTTCTCACACATGTGTCCCTCCCAGCTCTGAATCATGCCTTCTGATCTACTCTGAACTCTGGCCAAGAGGTCTGCATCTTTCTGGCAGAGTGAAATGACATAAAACAAGGCCCGCACACCCCTCCAGATGTGGGGGACCAGGAGGCCCGTTCCTCACGGCGTACGAGCCCGTCTCTCATCACTCACGCCATCTGCCTTGGTTTCCCCGCGCCCCCCAGCAGGATCTGGTTACGGCTCTTTAATCCGGTCTGAGTTGGGAGGCAGCCAGGCGATCGTTTCCTGGTTCCATGGGGGTCTGTGATTCCCTCCCCACACGCGCTGAGTGAGCGCTTTTATGGACGGAACTCCAGAGCAGAGCCCACGTGGGCTGCCCCAGGGGGTGAGTCTGGCCCCAGCCATACTGCCTGCCAAGTGACCCTGGACAAATCACTTCACCCCTCTGAGCCTCAAGCTCCCATTTATAAACAGACATGAAAGTGTCTACGGCTTACAGTTGTTCTGCGGACTAAGTCATGTCATTCATTCACCAGCACAATGAAGCCTGTAGCGCGGGAGGAGGGGCACCGGCACTGGTTAAGCATCTACCGAGGGCGGCCCTGCCTAGGGATTGTCACAGGGCCTAGGGATTGTCACAGGGCCTCTCGTTTGACCCTTGCAGTGCTCCTCAGAGGGACGGGCCATTCTCCCTCCTCAGAGAGGCAAGTGACTCGCCCAAGGTCACTCAGCAAGCCAGGGTGGAGTTAGAATTTGCATCTGTTTGTTCGTATGGAAACCATTGCTCTCATCTCTCCCCCAGCTGTGTTCTGCCATCTTTAAAAGGACCACCACTATGTGCTCATGGCCCTCCCTTGCAGCCATGACCTAAGCTCCAACTAAGTCTTTGCGGGATGGTCTTTATGAGTCTGAGTTCCTAGTGAGCGAGCCTGTGCCTGGTCATCTTTCTGCCGCTGGGGCTGTAGGGTGATTGCTGATTTCACCACACTCTCCCTTCCGGTCAGCCGCAGGCAGGTGGAGGGCTAGAGGTCAGCTTTAGCGGTTTGGAGAATGTGGTCTGGATGTGTGGCCAACCTGGGGCTTTCTACTGTTCCTCTTCCCCAGTCAGGGCCTTGGGTCACCCATCTGAGGCCATGCTGGTCCCCAGAGCAGGTGCACTGTCCCTGAGTCGAAGCTGCACACCTGGAGGGCTGGGGGGGGGGGGTCAAGCAGCAGGTCTCCTGGGCTGCCTATGGGAGGCAGGACTCGGCCCAGACACATGAGCTAACCAGGTGCAGGGCAGGACCAAAGGGAAATGCCACACAGCAGGCAGATCCTCACTCCTCAAAAGAATAGGTAGACTTTAAACTCCCTCCCGATTCTGAGATTCTGTGACTCTATCTTCTCCAAACTCATTAGCCAAGGAAATGCTGCTGCTGCTGCTGCTGGAGACTGAAGTCTCCATTCATTGAGCATCCTTGATGAGCCTCACTCTTTAAATACTTTATCTTTATTGTGCATTCCACACGAGAGGAAATAGGCTCACAGAGGTGAAGGGGGCTGCCCAAGGTGAATAGCAGAACCAGGGTTTGAACCCACATCTATCCGATTCCAAAATCGACATCCTTTTCAGTACATGCTGGAAGGCCAATGGGGTTTGGAAAATAGGATAATATTCAATGTACACGTGCTCTTCTCCAGACCAAGCCCTGATCTGCCGCCGTGGCATCGTGCAGAGGGGCACCCAGTCTGCACCAAGGAGCTCATGGCCTGGAGTCAGAGGAGACGGGACAGGCCTGGTGTCCTGCCATTCAGACAAAGGCGATCTGAAATGTGCAGACCCAAGCGGTGCTAGCGTGTCTGGAGGGAGAGGCAGGCAGAGAGGGCCCTGAGGGCCACAGACCAGAGGGGTCGTCATGGGCTCCCGAGAGGCGGCCTGGTGTGGGATGTGGGCAGACGGGGGAGAGCGGGTTCTCGGGCTGCAGTGTGAAGGCTGTGATTTCTAGGTAGAGACCATCGGGGACGCCTACATGGTAGCATCGGGGCTACCCCGGCGCAACGGGAGCCGGCACGCGGCCGAGATTGCCAACATGGCCCTGGACATCCTCAGCTCCGTGGGCGACTTCCGGATGAGGCACGCGCCCGATGTGCCCATTTGCATCAGGGCTGGCCTGCACTCAGGTATGCGCTGGGGGCCGTGGGGGTGATGGACCAGTCTCCCAGCCCTGCCTGGGGTACAGGCCGAGGCAACCCCAATGACGTGCTTCTGGAATTCAGAGAGTCTAAAACTCCATAATAGAGAGAAAATTTACATTTCTTTTTTCTCTTCTATTATTTTAAGGTTCTAGAATGTTATAAATCACAGAATCCATGTTTAGATTCACACATTTTTTTTTTTGTCTCAGCATCTGTCAGGAGCATCTAAGTCCCATGCTGAGGAGCTGATAGTCTGATGGAAAAGGCAGGACAGAGACCTTCTGTGGTCATGCAAACAACTAAATGTTTGCTGGGATGGGTCTGGGAGAGACCTCAGAGCCTCTGACACCTCCTTCTCGTGCCCCCATTCCTTCCTCCTTGGCACCTGCTGTTCCCTGCTGACTCATTCTCTCATCCCTCATCCGTCAAGACAGCTCATGCACCACCTCCTTTAGGAAGTCCTCCAGCCTGAGTCAGAGTTCCCCCTCTGGGTCGGCACCGTCCTGGTGCTTCCTTTTCACAGCATTGATCACAGTTCCTACATCGCCCCACACTGAGCTGGGAGCTCCCCGAGAGCAGAGTCTGGCTTCGATTGATCTGTGTCCCCCTATCCCCATCCCGGAGCTTGACACAGATGTCATCTCCTCTCCAGATAGCGTCATCCTTACCCGCCCTCCCCCAGCTGGAGCCCAGAATGCGGGGTGGGGACGACAGTCGAGGCAGGGAAGGGAAAGGCTGTCGTAGGGACTTCTCTGTGGTCCAGGACCTGCTGGAGCTCACTGAGTGCATTTGGGTTCCAGGGCCCTGCGTGGCGGGGGTCGTGGGTCTCACCATGCCGCGGTACTGCCTCTTCGGGGACACTGTTAACACTGCATCTCGGATGGAGTCCACGGGGCTGCGTGAGTGTCCCCTATTTCTATCCTGCCAGGCAAGGGCTCTGCCTCAATGACCACTGCAGCCGGGCTGTTTGAAACATGCTTCGTAACCAAATCACCACGTGGTGGCAGCGTACCCTCGTTGTTTGTAAAGCAGCTGCAAGGAGATGACGTATGTCACTGGTTCTTTTAACTTTCCACGAGGTTTTTGTGACGACTCATGAGAAAATGAGCAGATAAAACAATGACTCAAGAGGTAGGAAACCTAGGCCCTAGCCCCGACTGCAACTGGTTTGCTTAGGGTCCTTGAGCAAAATGCTCTTCCTCTGGGTCTTGGTTTCCCCACTTTTACAGTGAGGAGACCCCCCTCTAATTGTTAAAATGCCACTTTAGGGTCCTCCTGGCAGCAGGGGCCACTCTGCGGTTTGGTTAGAGCAGCCCTGGCCTCTGCTTCCGGCCATGCAGCCTGTGTGCTCCACACGGTCACTCAGTGCCCATCCCGCATAACCAGACGTGGCGGCCCTACTGCGGAGGCCTGGTTTTGAAAGAGAAAAACTGCTCATATGCTCTGCCTCAGCTTCATCGACTTCCCTACATGTGGAAATTATGTTCTTAGAGGTTCTGACTTCATCTTGGGTTCCTCCTAACATTCAATCTATGTAATGTGCTTTGCTTCGAGGCCTCTATTTTAGGGACCAACTACCCACTAAGGGACAGAAGAGCCAGGCAAAGGGTATCGCAGGAATCAGAATTGTGGGTATTACAGGCTAGAACAGGCACTCAATGACTTCACCAAACACTAGGTATGCTGCCACCAGTTGGTGACATGAATTCCTACCTTCCTTCTCAGCATACAGAATTCACGTCAGCGGAAGCACTGTCCAGACACTGCTCAGCCTGGACGAGGGCTACAAAATTGACATCAGAGGCCAGACTGAGCTGAAGGTAAGAAACTATTTCCATGAATTGGTGAGAATAGTTCCCAAAGGTCCAGTTTCTGTGGGCAGCAGGTGGGAGTCTCATCTGACGGATGTGGCTGAAGGAAATGCCTGCCTGGTGTTGGGACGGGGCTGATCACCTTCACATGTTCTCTCCACTCCCCAAATTCTAAGGAAACATTTCTTGCTTGAGCCACCCCCTCATTTGTCTCCTCATGAGAAGGACTAGAGCAAAGAAGTTACTTCTATAGATGATCTACCTGGGGAGCATGCTGGTACACAGCATACATTTATGTATTATTACTCACAGCAATAATGAAATGGGGGTCACTGTCCCCATTTGTAGTTGAGGAAATTAAATGAGAGAGCCAAAGGGACTTGTCCAAAGTCTCATAGCTTGGATGCCAGGTCTGGTGGCTGAAAGCCAGTGCTTTCTCCATAGCACTGTTGGGCTCCTACTCATCCCTCAGAACACTAACATAGACATCACCTCTCACTGAAGCCCGCCCTAATCCAGGAATGCTCTTCTTCCTTTCCCCAGCAGTGACTATCAGGCTTTGGCTGTGCACCCACCAGTCTAAAGACCAGCCGTCTGCTGTTGTGGGTGTGATATTGTGTTGTACTTGCCCATGAGCACCTCAAAGGCAGAGACAGCTCTGTAACCTCTGCATTCTTTTATAATGTGATGTTCATGAAATGGTACAGCATTCCTATGAATGATTTTTCTTCCTACCCCACCTCCTCTTTCCCCCAATTCCTTGGCTAGAGTCAGGCCTGGTGGGGAGACTAGAGCAGCCTAGGCATTTAAACCCCCAGGGCTGCGACCAGGCCTCAGAATTTGGGTGCTCCAGGGGATTCGCTGCATTATGCTGTGGAATGTTAGAGTAGGAGGGTGCAGCTCAGAGAGGGGCAGTGACTTGTCCATGGTCACACAGCCTGAGGGGGCTGACAATGTGGAATCCTTTGCCCTGGAGGCTGAGATGATGATGGGAGAGTGAGCTGGAGTAAGTCAGGGCAGGTGTGTCTTGTTTGGCGGAATGGGCACTGGGTGACCTGAGGAACAGAGGCACTGATGATAGAAGGGGATGCCGAGAGGGAATACGGAGGGCAGCAAGCCACCCTCAGGTTCTTCAGGCTGGTCTGGGGGCTCCAGGGGGCAATACCCTTCTCTGTGCCAGGGTGGGGTACGGAACCTCTAGACCAGCCCTGACCCCAGTGCCCCTCATGCCCCCTCCTAGCCTCCAGGCAGCGGCAACCCCATTTCAGGGGAGGCCACCAAGTCCTTCAGTAGTTGGGGGAGAATCCCAGGTCCTAGAAGCCTGGCATCTTAGCATTCCAGATCTGCTGGGTCATAGAATTCACGATTTATCATTTATTTTTCTGACAGATAAATATTAACTCATTTCATCCACACAGCAACTTTGTGAGGTATTAGGGCAACCGAGGCACAGAGAGGTGAAGTAAGTCGGCCAATGTCACACAGCTAGCAAGTGAAAGAGCCAGGATTTGGACCCAGACAGTCTGCCTCCAGGCTCCAGGCTGCCCGCCCCCAGGCTGCTGGGAGGGGTGCCTCTCTCTGCCTTGCTCTCTGCTTGAGGAGGTGGCTCAGCCCTCTTTCCGGTCTTTTCCAGGGCAAGGGCGTGGAGGAGACCTATTGGCTGACGGGGAAGGCAGGCTTCCCCAGACCCCTCCCCACACCTCTGGACATCAAACCTGAGTGAGTAAGAGGAATTTCCCCAGAAGCTTGGCCTTTTTGTGTGCGAACTTTGGTATTTGTTACTTTTCTGATCATCGAGGTCTTACCCGTGTCGTGTGTAAAACTTGGAAAATACAGAATTCTTTAACGATTACATCATCGCCATCTCCCCACTCCTGAGAGACAGCACTGCTAGCAGGTAGGCACAGTCCTGCTGCCTGTATCTGAGGCGCTCGTGGAGGAGGAGATCACGCTGCCTCGGTGACTCCTCACTGGGATCTGTGCTCTCAGCTCACGCCCCCAGGTCCTCTGTGTGGGTCAGAGCACTTTACAAACACACTCGTGGTGACAGCCTCCGGACGGCCGCCTGTGGGGGCGCCACGACTAGCTCAACCTTTCTCTGGTCGCTGGGCATGGAGAATCTCCCCGTTCTGAGCTGGGCACAGGCAGTGCGCTGGGCACTTGTCTCCATTCAGATGATTTCTGCGGAGACTGGAGGGCAAGGTCACAGGGGCTGCCAGTTGCTGAGAATTATAGTTTCCTATAAACAAGAAGGTCCCCTGGGGGCCCACAGTCATCCCACCAGTGGGGAGGCGGAGCCTGGGGATGGGCAGAGCCGGCCAGGGTCCCCCAGCATGACCACATCACAGCTCCCCGACCAGTTTTTCCGTTGTCAGCACTTCCCGCTGGCTCCTCAGCTCTTCCAGGCGGCCCCTCCATCGCTCAAAGGGGAGGAATGTGTGGGACACACCTGGGCTTCCCGGGAGAGGCCAGCACTCAGCAGCCCAGGCTACACAGCGGGCGGATGGGTGTGGACGGGGTGACTGGCAGGGAGCCGGCTGCAGCAGCCACTTCCTTTCCACTCTGCCGTCAGGGCGCCCCCAGGCCTCTGGACCCCCAGGAACCAGAGGACAGGAACTGACCCCATCCAACTCCCAGTGCCCTCCCCAGTGGGGTCCAGCGAGGCAGGGAGGGGGCAGGGCATGGATGGGCACACGCTGACATATGCAGAAGCTGCCAGGTGTACAGAGCACAGATGTGCCCACTTTATAAGGGCACGCCAGCCTCCTGGGTGCAGAGCCGGCTTACGCTCACAGAGAGGCCTCCAGGCCCGGGGCCTTCAGCCTGCAGGACGTCTCTGTGGGGGCGGTTCCTGGGGCGGCAGCGTGGTGTGAGGATGGCTCCGGGACTGGACTGTTTGTGCGGCCTGGGCAGGTCCCTGTCCTCGCTGTACCTTTCCATGTGCCACAGCAGCCTTGGCTCGCCCACCCCCCGGAGCTCGGTGTGGCCCTGTGTGCCCTTTCCCTACCCTCTAGGTCAGCGGTTCTCAACCTGTGGGTCGAGACCCCTTTGGGGGTGGAACGACCCTTTCACAGGGGTCGCCTAAGACCATCGGAAAACACATGTATAATTACATATTGTTTTTGTGATGAATCACTGTGCTTTAATTATGTCCAATTTGTAACAATGAAATTGGGGGTCACCGCAACATGAGGAGCTGTATTAAAGGGTCGCGGCTTTAGGAAGGTTGAGAACCACTGGTCTAGGTCCTCGAGTCCCACTCACCTCTCTGCCCCTCGAAGGGCAGGACGTCCTCTGACCTCACAGGCCTCCGTTCCCACCCCGCTTCTCGCCTCCACTCGGAGCTGCGCTTCTCAGAAGGCCCGTCTGCTGATGCCTCACTTCCTCACCTCCCACTCCCCGCCCAGCCCCCGCAGTCTGACTTCCACCCCCACCCGCCGGAACGCTCTGTGAAGGTCACCTGCACCCATGTCACTAGGTCTGTGGGCAGGTTTTAGGTTCTCACTGACATTTTCCCTTCCCCTCCCGCTTCCTAGAAACGGACTCCAGCCCCCTCCGCACTCCGCTGTGCTCTGACCTCTGCAACTCATCCCCCCGGGCTCCTCCCCTCTGCCCAGCCCTGCAATGCCCGGATGCACAGGGTCTTCCCTGGGCTGTCTGTCCCTCCAGATCCGAGGATAGGGGAGGTGGG